AATAATATAACTATCTTCTTGTCTTTTTTTTTTTTTTTTTTAATTCCTCTGAGTTCTCTTTCTCTCTCTCTCTCTCTCTCTCTCTCATACACACACATTCACACTCACACTTTCTTCTATTTCGCCGAAGAGGAGAAAAAAGACCGTCGTAATTATGATATTTTCCTCTCTTTTTATCTCTCTACAATTGTTGTTGTTGTTGTTGTTGTTTTTATTCTTCGTTGACTATCTACACGTTATATACAAAATTCTATGTACATATAAAGGAATATATTTCCCGGGATCGATTAGGAGCGATCGAAATAACATCGTTCTCCTCTCGATCTAATTATCAACGTTAACGAAGATCGGTCAGTCGAGTTGGAATCGGCATCGATCGATTCGTCGTGTTCATATTCGGCGTCACGTTCGTCTCGAGTCGTCTTAAATCCGTATCACCTTCCGCGTCATCATCACCACCGTCCTCGTAAAACCGAAGACATCGGATAGACATCTACGGAATCTTGTATTCTTTTTATCTTCGTCGTTGTCGAGTTTTTTTTATCGTATCGTGTCGGCAAGATTCGAGAAGGAAAGGCAGGAGAAAAGAAAATCGGGGGGGGGGAGGAGGGGGAAGGAGAGAAAAGGAAGAAGGAAAGAAAGAAAGAAAGAAAGAAAGAAAGAAAGAAAGAAAGACGATCTCTCGCGATCTCTTTCCTCGAAGGAAGAAGAATAAGAAGAAGAAAAGTACATTCCCCGACGACGACGACGCGTCTAAATAATCACTAGCCTTTCAACGGTGATCGTACACCCTCGTTTCACCTGCACGCCCACGTGCTCGTCTCGCCCTAGTAAGGTCTCCACACGGGTTTGGCGGGCGGTGGCGAGGAGATCTTGGTGGGGGAGGGGCTCCTCTTGGGCGAGAGGGATCGGGAGATGAGGGCTGTCGGCGCCTTGAGCTCGTTCCTCGAACCCTCCACGATGGGTCCCCTCTTGGTCGTCGTGGTCGTGATCAGCCTCTCGGGCGACGAGGAGGAGGCGGGCGTGATGACGGACGTGGTGGTCGGCGGCAGCGTGTTCATCAATCTGATGGGGACGAACGCGCTTCGTATCTCCTCGGCGGCCGACTCGCTCCCCGACTCGCTCGGGCTCTTGGGCGGTGTTCTGGACGGGCTGGTTGGGATCGTTGCCTGCGCGCTCGAGCTGCTGCTCGACTTTGGGGGTAGCGTGGTTGCGGCGTACTCGGCCGGATACTTCACGTGGTCGAACGGATACGACGGCAGTACCGATGGCGGGAACGTCGGCGGAAACAGATCCGTGGATGGCATCGGGATCGTTCCTGCGCGGACAAGAAAGAAGAGAAACGAGATGAGAATAAAATTCTCGCTCACTCGTGCACGAGGAGAAGAAAGGAAGGAACGAAGGAAGGAAGGAAGGAAGGAAGGAAGGAAGGAAGGAAGGAAGGAAGGAAGGAAGGAAGAAGAAGAAGGAAGAGAAAGGCCGAGTCTTATTGTTGGCTGGCTGACTGGCTTAGGTTAGCGTGGTGGATGCACGGGGGGATAGGGGAAGGGGGGGGGGGTCGAAGAAGGGGTCCGTTGTGGGAAAAGGGAGTCGAGGGCTCACCCTCGGTCCAGCCACCGGGGGTATGAATCATCGGCAAGCGTCGCGGACTCTCTGGCGAAATCGATAACGCGAACTCTCTCGTCGATTGTGAACGCGTGTCCTCTTTCGAGGCTTTTTCTTTCTTTTTTCTTTTTCTTTTTTCTTTTCTCCCTCTCCTCTACTGTCGGAGTCGGGACGAGCATTCTTTGCACCGCCTGGTGCATTGTTCGGCCTTCGATTGATTGCGAGCGGGTCGAGGATGAAGGGGAAGGGGGAAAGGAAGGGGGGGGGGAGGGAGGGCTTTGGACCCGATTAGGCGCGCGATTCCAACGTGCTCGTCCTTGGTGTTCTTCGAAATTCGAAATCGAGAATTCATTGGATGGGCAATCTCGCGGCGTTCAAAACGCGTCCAAAACGTTTAGGAAATAATCGTTATTATCGGTTGGGAGAATTAGAAAAAAAGAGAGACGTCGTGCTAACCTTTGACGAAGGCAGGATGGGGCAAGTGCCACGCGTGTCCCAGATACGCCACGTCCACCCATGGATTGAGCAATCCGAGTCCGGGGAATCCGTGTCCGTATTGATAATCTGAAAGTAATCGGAGAGAAAGGTAATTCCTTAGCGTTTCGATGCGTTCGAAATAGATTGGTATTCTCGGGACACGTGGATGTCGGACGCGATTCCTTCTATAAATAATCCGACCGACGTTTTTGCGAAACGGTCGGGAACACCGCCGCAGCCTTCGAAATCGACCTTGACGAAATTTTCTATTCCGCGATTCGATTTCCAAATCCAATCGAAAAGAGAATAGAAAAGAGAAGAAGAAGAAGAAGAAGAAGAAATAGATCCATCTCATTCGTTCGAATCTAACGTATTCGTTCATAATTCATTCGAATCAACGACAACAAAGAGGGGGAAGAAAAGAACGAAAGAAGAGAAGAAAGAGAGAGAAAGGATGGCGAGAGATCTGGCGGGCGGCCGTAAAACGCGGATTAACGACGCTCTCCGGAGGCGAGTTACCGATCTCTGTTTACAGGATCGGCGCGCAACGCTGCCTCGTTACGAGCCACATGCTACCGCCATATGCGGCGCGATAAACAAACGCGTGAGCGCGGCTCCTTTGCAGACGACGTCCTCGTCGCGCCCCGCGTTCGTACCTCCCGCGGCTTCCTCGTCTTCTGCCTCTTTTGCGCGCCGCCCGTGATAAACAACCGAAAGCGCGCAGCGTTTGAGCAGCGTTCTCCTCCAACCCTGATCTGGATTCGAGCCCAGGGAAAATAAGCGCGGATGTTGTAAAAAAAAAAAAAGGGCTGCCGACTCTCGGACTAGCGGTGGCCGATCCTCCGCGCCTTGAATCATGCCAACACGAGCGCGCGCGTGTACGTATATATATATATATATATATGTATGTGTGTATATACACACGCGCGCGCATATACGCGCGTGATTTTCACGCGTTTGCGTGTGCGCGCGCGCACAGGCAACCCTTATGCACGTGCACGTGCAAACGACCGGTAGAGGCTGTGCTAGTTTCTGCGACCACCGCGCGCGGCCCGCGGTTTGAGGTCCACCGGATTATTAAACGCCTACGAGGATCCGACACCCGTTTGCGGGTTCTACGTCGGCCACGCTGGGACCCGCTATCCACGCGGAATCCTCCTTTCGCCCCGTGATCCGATCGGAAAACGTCGAATCTTTTCTCTCTCTCTCCCTTTTTTTTCCACCTCCCCCTCTGCGATTAGAATAATTCGCGAATTATTCGAAGTTGAATTGGAGTTAATTAATTTGGGGAGAAAGAAGAAGAAGAGGAAGAAAAAGAAAAAGAAAAGAAGTTTCCCGGAGGGAAAATTTGGTCCGTTCCATCCGAAGCGTTCTGTGAACTTACTCGATTTGGATCGTGGCTCTCTCGGCCCGTCCACGGTCACTTTAATCGCCTTTGTGTAGGTGGCGACTTGGAAGGGTACCGTGCTGATTTGGATGGTGAGCGAGAACGATTTTCCTGTAATCAGGCAAAAGTCGCGCGATTACTCGATCGGTGAGGGGGGAAAGATTTTTCGGGAGGGATTTTTTTTTTCCCCGCGGGGGAAGCAAAGTGGAAGGAATGGGACGACGACCGACCTCTCCCGCTTCGCCCGACGAATCTCAGATCGTTGAACTTGGCCACCTGATTCTTCATTACGGCTGTACAATTCCTCAACTCGCCGCAACAATTCTCGTCGTTTCCAGCTCTGATGGTGACCAGGGTCCCGTCGCTAACGTCGTCCAGGGCAACGACCTTGAACGCTACCGGCAGCGACTTGTTCGACCTCCAATGGGACGGCAAGGCGCTACACAGGATAGCGGGACTTCCAGTTCTAACCAAATCACCGTGACACGCCTGCAGAGTCTCATGCATAGCATTGATGTCCATTCCTAGCGGCCCTTCCGGTAAGTGCATGTTCGAGCTTCACGATAATCACACTCGTCCTCGTTGTTGGCGTAATAACCGTCCAAAAAGGAGGGGTGGGGATGGAAGAGGGGGACGCAATTGACGATATATTATCAATCCCCGATATCAACACCAAATATACATATATATATATATATGTGTGTGTATATATATATATACGCGCGCGCGTGTGTGTATATATATGTACACAAACACTGCGTCCAATCGTTCGATCCACTATATCCCCACGTATCCCACTACTCACTACAAATACACCTCAACAATCCTCCATGAGTTTTACCCGGTTAAACGAATAATAATCTCGGTCCGTTTCTCTTCGGTGAAGAGAAAGCGAAGATGGATCTGTCTCTGCGAAACGAATTCGCGCGTTTCGCAGAGAAACGTAGTTGCACTGGCCGATCGCGGGGGATGCGAAAAATCGACGACGACGACGACTACTACTACTGCTGCTGCTGCTGCTGCTACGACTGATACGACGACACGATAGGAAAAGTTTGGACGCTGAACCGACGCGCACTCGATGCCGGCTGAGCGGATTCTAGTTTTTCGCGGCCGCAGCCGCAGCTATTTAGAGGGGATTTTTCTCCCCTCCAATTTTTCCGGAGCCCCACCCAGGCCAAGCGCGTCGACCAATGAGGACGGCGGTCGTGTTGTGGCCTCCGCGGCTCGCCGCCTTCGCCCCTAACCAGGCTTAGGGGGTGCCTTGCGAAGGGGCTGCCAGCCTGGTGCCTCTCTTGGCCAAGGGTGGCTTCTACCTCCGCGCTTCCTTACCGTTCCCTCCCTCCTCTCCTCCTCTCTCTCTCTCTCTCTCTCTGCCGGCAGTAGTCGCCTCGCGCTTTTCGCTCTCTGCTCTTCCCTTCTTCCTTCCTTCTCTCTCTCTCGCTCTCTCTGCAGCCACCGCGTTTCGTCTCTCGTCCCATCACCGTCCCCTTCCTTCCTTCCGCTTTCTCGCCGAACTTCTTGCTGCCTCCTGGCCTACCTCGCTGGCCAGCTTCTGCTCCCGCGTTACGTGACGATGTAAATTTTCACGCGCACGTGTTTCCAACCACCCCACCAACGCGATCCTATCTCCTCGCCTCTCGCGTTTCTTCTGTTTCGCGAGCGCCTCTTCGAGTCGCCTTCTTCCTCGGGGGGAGAGGAGGGAGGAGAAAGGAAAGAGAAGAAAAAGGAAGAAAGAAAATACGACGCGGTATCCGCGTTTTTCTCGATTCGATTTAAACAACGAGATTTGACGAGGCGAAGAGAGATTTTCTTCGAAATATGATAATACGATCCGTTATGGTGATTTTTCTTTTCGTATCCGACTTTCCCGTCGTTAACCTTAAATCCGGACGATCGAGAGGGATATGGTCGGGAAAAAATAAGATAATGTGATTTTTCGGATCCTGGGTTAGGGACGGATAATCCTAATTAACTCTCGATAAGTTTATTAACCTTATCGGATTAACTTTATTCGGTCGTAAGATACAATGTTTGGATAGGCGTAAAAGTCAAAATTCCGTTCGAACGAAAAAGAAAAATCTCTTTTCCCAAAGAGTTTCGAAAAAGTTCTTGTTTCTCGGAAATACGGGGGGGGGGGGAGGAAAAGAAAAGTATAACGTTTCATACGATCTCCATTTAATTCGAAAAATCGAAAAATCGGAATATTTAAGAATTTCCATAAAGTTTTTGGACACCACGACAACAACAACAACAATAACAACAACAACAACAACAACTAGGTAACGTAATAATATTAAGTTACGAGGCTGGACACGACCGACAGGCCTCAATATTTGGACAGAAATTCATGCGGGGCGTCCTAGCGGGGGGAGGGGAGAAAGCCGTGTTTGGCGTGGAGAAAGATGGAAAGGTGGCGCGGTAAGAGATTTATTAGGGTGTCGAGGCTCATTTCACCGATTTTCGCGTAAAAGAGACGCGCCAGTCCGGCAGCCCTTTTGGCGGAAACTCGGAAAGGACAGGTCGTAAAGGTTGATGTTGGCCGTGCACGAAATTCGAATCGATCTTGACGGAATCCCAACCCTTTGACTTTCTGGGTCAGCGTGTCGTTCACGGAGGCTTTCCTCCGAGATTTACAACGAAATTGCACTCGCAATCTCTTGCCACCCCTTTCACGCCTCCGCACGCTCCGCCAAAGAGGAAGGGTTTAACGAGGCCGGATTAAATTTCCGGATCGCGCAATTTTTCCGCTCGTGTTTTTTTTTTCCTTTTTCTTTTTTCTTTTTTTTTTTTTTCCCTTCCTCTTTTTTCTTTTCATCATTCGACTTTGCGCTCCTCTCCGCCCTCTGCGATCCACGGCGGTGTTTGATCCACCAACCTTTCGGCAAACGTTTTTCTTTTTTTCGATGACACTTCATGATCGATCCGAAACGACGAAAGCGAGATTTCGATAGATTTCCGTTAGATCGGACGTTTGGAAGGAGAAATATCTCCTTCTCCTTTCCTTCGACGATGATTCGGGAAATTTTTCCTGAAAAAAAGTCTACCGATTCGATTGAATAACGGATATTTGATATATGGATCGAACGGAAGGACGATTAAGTTTTTCAAAGGTATTTTCGACACGTTTTCGATTACGTTTCGAACGAATTCTCCAGTCCGGTGTTACGAATTAGTTTCTTTCGGATGGAAAAAAATGGAATTCCTCGTTGTTGCTCGTTTCTTCTTCTTCTTCTTCTTCTTTTTTATCTTCTTCTTCTCCGGGAAACTGGAGATAAAGGCGGCGAGATCCATAAAAGGCAAAAGTTGCAAAACTTTTACTGTATAAATCGTCTTACAACCAGTCGCCTCTTCCCTGAAAGGATCTGTTCGCAGGGTAATTTCTAGGTAAAAGCACGTGAAAACGTTTCCCTCGATTTTCACCGCTGCTTTCACGCGTTTACAGCTTGTGTCCTTGAACAACGACAACAAGTTTTCTTAACAGCTTTTACACGCCTTACCGAGGATTAGCACGAGATTAACCCCATTTTTTCCCACCCTCACCCGGTCGCCTACTTTTCCTTTCTCTTTCTCCCTTTCTTTCTCCTTTCTCCCTTTCTCTCTCTCTCTCTCTCTTTCTCTCT